CTATCAGGCCATCTTAGGATATAACTATAATATAAATCAATTAAGGGGTTACTATTGCTTTTTGTACAACAAAGTGTGACCAATATATGAGGTTTTGTTCAAGCATTGTAACCAACAGCAGGGCTTGAGAAAGTAACTTTTTAGGAGCATAGCTGTTGTCAATTGTATGCTTTCCAGACCACATTGCATCATCTTGAATCATTTCCCTGGCTTCCAATTTTTTCCATACACAGTTCAATGTCTTGGCTTTGACCTACAAAGCCCTAAATCCATGTTGGTGAACCTATGGAAGCCATTTTCCCTGACACGTGGAGCAGGGAAGAAGAGGAAAAAGCATGCGCCTGTTTCTCCTCCTCCTGGCCATTCTAGGCCTTCATCTGCCTCCGAAAAGGCAGCTCAAAGCCCAGGAAGATGTGAGGGTAGGAGAAACAGGTGCATTCCTGTTCCTCCTTCTCCTCGGCCTTCAGCTGCCTTGGGAGAGGCAACTGAAGGCCTGGGAAGGTGTAGGGGGAAGAAGTCCCATCCCGGAAGTCCCTCCCCCATGGGGCAGAAGTCCCACCTCCAGCATAGGCTAACCCCCGGTGCTGGAAGGCCGTTTATTTTGGGCATTCAGTGCCTAAAAGGTTCGCCATCACTGCCCTAAATGATTCGATGGCAAGATAATGGGGATTAGCCCCCTCCCTCAGGGACAAGGACCCTTTGGCTCTCCAGCTGTTCTAGAGTGCAATATGGTCTATAGCTGGATACTATTGTCTGACATCTGTAGATCAAAACATCTGGAGGCTCAAACATTTACCTGTAATTTATAATGACCCTCAGAAGCTGTTATATGTCCCATGACCCACTGAGCTGTAGTATAGTGTAGAGCAGGGGTAGGCAACCTAAGGCCCGGGGGCTGGATGCGACCCCCTGAGGCCTTTGGACTGGCCCCAGGACGGTCCTGCCGCCGCCGCTGCCCGCCATGATGATATTATTGTTGTTTTACTTGTTCTTGGGGTTTTCTTGGCAAAATCTCCACAGGGGGTTTGCCATGGCTTTTCTGGGGCTGAGAGAGTGTGCATGCATTTTTTTTAAAAAAATATTTTTTAATTTTTTTTAAAAAAAAAATTTATTTATTTTTGGTGCTTCGGACCCCCAACTGTCTGAGGGACAGCAACCCGGCCCCCGGCTCAAAAAGGTTGCCTACCCCTGGTGTAGAGGTTTGAGTATTGGATTATGACTTTGGAGACCACACTCAGCCATGGAAGCCCACAAGGTGATCCTGAGCAAGTCACACAGCCTCAAAGAAAGGCAAAGGTAAATGCTTTCTGGAAAAATCTTAGTGAGAAAACCCATAATAAGTTTTTCCTTAGAATCGTCATTAATGAGAATTTACTTGAAGGCACACAATGACATCAGAGACGGCCTTTTTGGCAGCAAGTAACATCATCATTGTATGACTCTCTCAGGAGAGGTCTGAGTAATCCATGTAAAGTTTTATGCTACCATTGAATTTTGACTTAAATGCTACTCTTCAATGTTTCTATATAGATAGTTTTGGAGCCAAGGTTTTCCTGTTTTAAACATTTTAATAGCATTTTAATTGTACCCTGAGCATCATGTGTGTAGAGGGTCCAATTTATTAATGTAATAAATAAATGCAAAAATTAATATAAAAAAGACCTACATAATTGCATACTATGTATTAATAGGATTGCTGGTTTGGCTCTGCTAGTTCTTATTACTAACGTAGAAGTGATGTGGAGATATTAGTAGTTTTATTTAACATGCACATGATTGCCTTTGGAGAACTATAATGGAGGAAAGAGGACATTAAAAGAGAATTAGCAGATTGCAAAAGTTGTTCCCTGGAATCCAGAAGAGATAGTGTACGTGACAATATTTTCAGAGCAGTTCTTCAAAAAAATTGAAACACCAAAGTAGCAGCTAATTATTTAAGCACAAAGGCCTTCTTATTCTCATGAATTGATTTTTAAAAATTGAACATGAGACCTTCATTTAAAAACGGAATTTGCTCTGCTTATGTTTTCATGATGAAGGGCATAAATGATGGTTTAATTATTGGTGGCACACATTACTTTGTTATTGTTTGTTTTAAAGTTCTATTGTTCTAAAGTGAAGGAGAGGACAAAATGCAGCCTTGGGGATGCATATGGCCTCTCAATAATGTGTTTGTGGCCCCTGACATGTCCAAAATTCCCAGACCAATCTTTTTCTGGTCAAAAAAAGAGAATGAACTGCTCTAAGTTTTCAAGGCCTTCCTTTACTCTTTAACATCAAGGTATACTCAAGAACTGGCCACTTTATAGTGTTTTTTAAATTTTGTATTGTTTTGTTTTTTGGTAATCCATGTTTTTTTAAGAGACCCAAAGCATAAAGGTTGTCCCTTGTTCTATCAAAGTTGCCTGCCTCTGTTCTTGTGCTTGAAAAAGCAAATATAAATATGTGTATATTTAAATTAAGTAGAATATTTAATCTATTTTAATGTGCTTTTATAATGTCTGCTATATGTATAATGTATCCAGGTGGTATACAATAATCACAGCTGCAATGTAAACACGTATCACAATTAAAATCAAACAGAACTTTATCCATTGTACTTATATTTCATCAAATGAGTCAATGTGTGAATAGTTCTTTTCTTCTCCATTTTATCTAAGAAACAACCTTTTTGGATGGTCAGTTCAAAGGAGTATGATCAGCCAAGGATCACTCACTCAAGTTTCATGTCTGAATCAGGACTTAGGACCTGGGTCTCCTAAGTGGCAATTCAACATTCTTAACAACTAGGTGGCATAATCATGGGCAGGGATGACTGACACTCAAATTATAAGCAGAAGCTAGAAGCAAGAGTAATGAATGACTGATGAAAGGCATGTAGCCCTTCCTGAAATCTATTTCTTAAAACAGATGTGATGTATGTTGCATATTAGAGGATTGTAATTACTCACTTTCCTAAAAATCCCCTTTCAGTGAAATGTGGAAGAAGGAAGGTTCCTTTAAGTCTTGGACACAATTTTTGCCAAGATCTTTGCCAGCTACTACATTGTGGATATATTTAATTATTCCTGCTCAGTGAGATTGGCACACCAAATACTAGTAAATTTAAGAGGGGCACAGTGTCCTTGATGATGGGTGAGATCCTTTTCTCCCTGTCTTTTTCACTTAATGAAAACTATTTTGTCATGTTTGAACATCAATTCTGTCTGAATTGCTTCCTGAGCAATTTAATAGTTACTCTACTTTTCCTTATTTGAGGTTTAAAGTAAACCCAGCACACTTCCCAGGTCAGATTCACGTTTCAAGCTACCCATTTCCAGAATATATTTGTTCCATTTAAAGTCTAGGAGATCTCCCCAGAACATGTGTTTAGCATAAAAACTGCATTTTTGACTACATAAGATCAGATAACTAATGGACTTTTCTTGAGTTTTCTGAAGCTCCTTCTCATGACTTTCATCATCAAAGAACAGAGATATTATCTAATTACAAAAGGATGTCATGTGCCTTCCCCTTTTGGATAGAAAGGATGTGCTTCTATTTCTAAAGTTTCTGCTGATTCTTGAACAAAGAGAAGTTACACTGACAGCCATTCCACACACTCAGATCTTTTTATAATAAATGCAATATTGGCTTCACAGTTGTTGCATAAAAACTGTTGCTTCTCCTCAAATCAATGTTTTATTATTTCAGCATTGAAAGAATTATTCAAAGGAAACACAAAAGCTCCCATTAGTTCAGAATGCAGCTTCTGACAATGGGATAAATGCAATGTTAATTTCAACTAAAATATATCTATTGAATCAAAGGAACCTATGCTACTTGCAACTAACAAATCTAATTCATTTTAGTGAGTCTACTCTAACTGTGAATAGCACTGATTTTGGCCCCAGTGAGTGGATTGCACCAACGTCACTGTCTTTACCTATTTGCTTCTGGGATTAGTTCTCACTTTTAAAGGTCTCAAGGCTCAGCAGCCAGGTATCTGTTGGATACAGTCCTATATCAGTACTCCTGTGTATCCAGCAATACAGTACATTTGCAGGTTATCCTTGGCACAGTAAGTAAAGTGAACAGCAACCAGGAAGAAGGCCTTTTTGGTGGTCGTGATGTATCTGTGGAATTGGTTCCCTGATGCTCTGGTATCATTTCAATGCCAAACTGTGGAATGACATGTCCTGGCATCTACTATCATTACAATAGCACTTAGCAAGAGCGCTTACATTTCTATACCATTTTATAGTGCTAAGCACTCTCTACAATGTGTTTGCCAATTTCCCCCAACAACTTGAGTACTCATTTTACTGACCTATGAAAGGATCAAACTCAAAACGTTTTGGCTGCAGTACCAGCATTTAACCACTGTGCCAGCAAGGCTCTTTCAATGCTACATTTCAATGCTAGATAATTATCTGCTAATACCAACCTTTGTTGTTGTTGTTAACTGCCCCTGAGTCAATCTTTACTCATGGTGACCCTATGGATGAGACATCTCCAAGGACCTCTGTCCTCCATTGCTCTGCTTAATTCTTGCAAGCCCATACCTGTGACCTCTTTCATATAGTCCATCCATCTAGCATGTGGCCTTCCTTTCTTCCTACTTCCCTCCACCTTCCCCAGCATTATTGTTTTTTCCAAAGAGTCCTCTCTTCTCATGATGTGTCTGAAGTATGACAGTCTCAGTTTGGTCATCTTGGCTTCCAGGGACATTTCTGGTTTGATCTGCTCTAGGACCCACTATGGTTCCCCCTTTTTATTTTCTCAAGCTTTCCAGCATTAAAGAATATCAAACTATAAAAGTTATCAGGGTCTAGCTTTGTTGTTGCTCTTATTGTTGTTGATGTTGCTATGAGCCTTCAAGTCATTTCTGACTTATAGTGACCCTAAGGCAAATCTATAATTGGGGTTTTTGGTAAGATTTGTTCAGAGAAGGTTTGTTATTGCCACCCACAGAAACTAAAGAGCATGTGGCTTGCCCAAGGTCACACTAGTGGGTTTCATAGCCAGGAAGGGAATCGAACCCTGGACACCAGAGTTGTAGTCAAACACTCAAACCACTATGACACACTGTTTCTCCTCATTACTTAATTTAGCTTAATTACTTAGGAACAAACACACAAAAAACCCCACTCTGCCATCTTTTCCATTCAGTCAACTTTAATTCAGTCAACTTTATGGTAAGGATGTAATTATTCATTAAGTTTCTTCCTAAAGGTAGCAATGTGTAATTTCAGCAATTTTCTTCCTGCTGCGACAAAGACTTTGAAGACCTCAAATTTTTGAAAGGAATTTGCAATTTTGAATATATGTTGGATGGTTGTTTTGTGTAGAAAACAGCATCCTCTGTACAGCATCCTCTGTGTAGAAAACAGCATCCTCTGTAATAGAAATATTAATTCCTTCACAGAAAATGCTGTTTTCTAATCAAATCAAATGTGTCCATATTTTATGGCAAGTGAATGCCCAATTACATCATTTTCTGCACAGAAAACAGCATTTTGAATGAATTATAATATTTCAATGCAGAACTATTCATTGCTATGCAGAAAATGCTATCTTCTGCACAAAATTATACTTGTTGTGTATGCAAACCAACCATATGTGAATTTTACACAGAATAAATCCCCAATTACAGCATTTCTGTGCATAAAGTAGCAGTTTCTATGCATCAATTAATAATTCTGCATTGAAATATTATTTTTTTATGTAAAAAAATGCTACTTCCTGTGCATTTTCCACACAAAACAACTATGTGTAGATTTTATGCAGAATATGTTCTGAACAGCAAAGATTCTCATCAGTCCAGGATTCTTCTCATCAGGATTTCTAAGCACTCCAAAAAAAAAAAAAGTTTGTCAATCACTTCATGACTGTTTTCTAATATTTTTCCACCCCTACATTATGAGCACAATCCACTCCATGGCCCACTCATGGCAATGTACCTGTACAACCATCGGCAAATAGAAGGGACAAGAAAGTTCTCCATAAAAGAAATTGTGGCATATAGATGATTTGGGGGTTTGGAACAGAAGGATGCCATAAAAACTGCAATCATCTCCCTATTTTCCACATTTTTCTTTTTAAAGGCCATGCTTGTGTTCTCTTTCTGCCATTTTGGCTCAAAGACAACGTAGGCAGATTCTTCTTCCAGAAAGGAACAAACAGGATTAGAATTCCCTTCACATGGCAAGGTTATGGCCTCTACCACTTACTGTGTTAAATTGTTCACAGACATCAATGCATGAGGCATGGAGTGGATCCCACCCAGAATGTTCACAGATGGCTGTGCAAACTTAAGTATTGCTTATGGGAGTAATGAAGGATGGTTAAAATGTCCTTACAACATGATTTCAGCAGCCATGAAGGCCTTCATTTTCTGGAGTGCTGTTGGTATCATTGAGAAATGTCTCATAATTTCTTTGTTCTACTAAATAGACCTATGCAGATCTATGTAAATAGATCTAGGAAATGCCTATGTCTGTTTCCCAAGGGTTGTTCATTTTTGGACCAGAGAACCAGAGAATTTTTATGTTGTTCATAGCTTTTAAAAATACATATAGGAAAAGAAGCTAAAAGCAGATGTTAATTTAAGGAACATAAGTGAGGCATAATGGTGAGAATGAGGAAAAACGTCTGGTAAGAGACTTAAAAAGAGGAAAAATACCGTACCTAGTTTTCCCTCAGAAACATTCCAAAACTCAATCCTTTCCATTTAAAATGCAGAGAAGTGGATATAACACACTATTCCCTCTGCTCTCCATTCTTCCTAACTTTTGCCAGTTTGTTCATTGATCAATTTATTTTACATTTTCAGACAGTAAAAGAACCAGCTTCGCTTCAGCCAGGGATCTGCCTGTGTTTACAAAGTTAAGCTATCTAGCTCATCATATTTTATTTCAGAAACTGCAAATAATTATCCAAGAAAAACTAAAATCTTTGGAATAGCTTGATCTGGGGATTGTGGTATTTTATTTCTACTTTCATCAAAGGTGGTTGACTAGATGATAGCTACAGGCCAAACCCTTTAATGTTTATGACAAATGTAGACTTGCAAGCCTGACACAATCTTCTTTTCTTTCAGCCTGCTTGTCTAAAGTAAGCACGTCCTGAGTAAAACATGGGCCTCATGCACCAGACTTCTGACGCCATGCAATGGTCTGCTCCATTGACACCAGGCCAGCTTTAGCGCCTGCCAAGCACAAACAAAGGTGGGAGGAAGGTACTTGTGATGGCAATGAAGAAGATATATTATGAGAAAAAGTAAGAAGGAAGAGTAGCTTGTGTATTTCAAGATACAATATAATGCACAAACATTTCAGAATTATACTTAAACATTTAGGCTAATCTCTTGAGGTAAATACTCCAGTCAGCCTTGGTATTATTTCCAGAGCCTGGGGAAGTTACTTTTTCAGACTAGAGTTCCCAGAATCTGCCAGCCATAAATGCTGCTGGCATTGCTGTCTAGAGATTTTGGGACTATTCCCCCCCCCAAATCAAAGAATCATAATCGGATGGGTCCCAAAATATATCTGGTCCAACTCATCATTTAAGAATGCACAACTAAAGCAATTCCAAGAGATGGCCAGCCAACCTCCATTTAATGGCTTTCAATGAAGATTTACCACCGTCTGAGGAAGTCTAATTCTCTCTTGACTTTCCATAGTGGTGGAATTCAAAGCTGTGTCAGTCTGTAGAATCAGTATGGGTTGATGCAGACCGACCAAAAGGGCCGGCCTGGAGGTGAAGTTGGGGCGGGGCAGCCACACACTGGCCACCTCAACTCTGCCCCAATTCCACCCCGACGCTGCGTGCCTATCCACACACACACTCTATGCCAAAAGGGTGCAAAAGAACTGCAGTGACAGTTCAAAGGGCAGCCTTTTGCTGTCCCCAAAAGGAGTGACATTTTGCTGCTCTTTTTGGGGCAGCAAAAAGGAGGATCGGGGCTGCGTGTGTGGTTGCTGCAGCCCAGAACTGCCCCAAATGAGCTGTCTACATCGGCCCTATGAACAGAGATCTTGTAGCACTTTTGAGATAAATGGAAAGAAAGAAGTTGGCAGCATGAGCTTTCCTCCTTAGTCATTCTTCCTTTAGTTAGAGGGGACGCAGACAGGCAGCCATGGGCCGCCACAGGAAATGGAGGATCGAGGCCGAGGCTGCAGACGTGTCAGCCCCAATCCTCCCTTTTGCCACCTGGGAAAGGAGTGCCAAAACGCCTCTCCTTTTACAGGCGGCAAATAGGGCACCCGAAGAGCCGCTGTGTGGCTCTTCTGCATCCCTTCCGGCGCAGCAAGTTAAGACGCTGCACTGAGAGGACGTCTTGATGGTGTGCACTGTGTGTAATAGTGTGCGCCGTGATGACATCCTCGGGAAGGGGTTGGGGTGCCCAGCATGTGGCTGCCTCTCCCTTCCCTGCCTCTAAAACAGTGCAAAGCGTCATCTGTAGAGGCTCTTAAGGGGGTTGCAGACTGCCAGAAATAGTGCAAATTGATTCCACTTTTAGGGTTAGGGTTAGGGTTAGGGAATCATGGGAACTGCATTTTATTGTGGCACCAGAGTTCTCTGACAGAGAAGGCTCAATGTCTTAGAAAAAAAACAATTCCCATGATTCCCTACCATTAACCCTAACCCTAAAAGTGGACAAAATTTGCACTATTTCTGGCAGTCTACAACCCCCCCTTAGTCTCAAAGGTGCTACAAAATCTCTCTACATACTCTCTCTTGACTGTTATCTGTTCTATTACAGTCATTCTTCCTATTGTTTGCACTCTTCTCTTGTAATTTGAAACCTTTGCTTCATGTTTTAATCTCTGGAATAACAGAGATCCATTTTCTACATGACATCCTTTGAGGTATTTAACATGGCTATCATACTGCCTCTCAACATTAGTCTTTTCAAGTTCTGCTTTCTCTGCAATGTTGGACAATTATCCCTCTAATACCACATTTTATACTTCTGGATAGTTTAACAACAGATAGTACCTCTTCTCAACATTTCTTCGTAGTGCAGAAAGATTACCGTTTAAGTTATTAAATACTGAAGTCACACCCCTCATAAATGAACCAGAAGCAGTCATGAAAAGACCAAGAAATTTAGAGGAAATACTCAGTTACTCAGGATGGTGAAATCCAAGGCAGACTGAAGAATTTCCAAAAGCTGGAGAGAAAATGGAGATGAAATGTAATTTAACAGCTAAACATACAAATTGGAAACCTACCCTTATGCTGAAAGATAACTGACACAGTTTTATGCACTTTTATCAGAAGTTAATTCCACTGAATTCACTTGGCCTTCCTCAAATAAGCTTGCACATGATTTTAGATTAAGACTGGGCATTTAAAAATACTTTTAAAATATCTTTAATACCTTGAAATTCTTTAAAATTGTAAATTCAGTTACAATATATATTGGTTGGTTAGTTGGTGGTGGTTATAAGAGATTTTATGCTTTTTATTGTTTAAATGTTTTGTTGTTATGTGCCTTCAAGTTGTTTCCAACTTATGGTGACTCTAACACAAACCTATTACAGGGTTTGTTTGTTTTTTTGTTACTGTTGTATAAATTTGTGTGTATGTGTGTACATACATGCACACATATTTAATAACAATCAAGAATGAGTGGGGGTTTATTTGTAAATATTAATTTTAAATATAAACAGTACAAATGAAAAAGTAGCCTATATCAATATATACGGTAGTATTTTAATTTGAAAGCATCTCCTAAAAGCTATTAATTATCTGGCTTTTCTGTTATATCAATTTTTAAAATAATATTAACGCTATATATTTTCCTTCTATCTCATTCTGTTCTTCTTTAGTCTTCCTTTAAACTATAAACCTGGTTGTATATGAGGTTCATTTGTCTGAAGTCTTATTCAGGAATATATTTTCTACAAATGTAGAATTTCCATATAATACAATCCCAGTTGAATTAAAAAGGAAGAATGAATGAAACAAAATAAAAGTTGGATACTTTGGAAAAACAAAGAAAAAAACCCAAAATTCAGATACACTGACACTGCCAAAAATGGTTAATAATATTTTGAAAATGACAACACTGAAGGAGAAACAA